CATACATACATACATACATACATACATACATACATACATACATGTATTATCTTGGTCCAACTATTATTTTCTTTCTCTAGAACTTTCCTTTTTACATCTACTTTCTTCCGGTCTCTCGCACCGATATATCTCCGATTTCCGTGACGTTTTCTAATCAAGCACTGGTACGATGATGTAAAAGAGTTATAACTGCCATCTTCCGCGTCATTCTTCCTTGTTCAACTTTCAACATCGTGGCATCTTTTTTCTTCGTCGCACACGTTTCACAAGAGTGAAGAAATGCTTGTTCTACACAAGTTTCATAGACGCAACGTTTGAATTTCATTGGAACTCTTCTACTGGTGAGGGAAAGCGGAAATGATTGAATGCGTCCCATTGTGCTCGCATCTTTCTCTGAATTTCAACGCTGATGTTCATATCGAAGGAGAACATTTATCCGAGATAGACGAAATGTGTACATTATTGCACATTATGTTTATTTATGGCACCGGGTCCTATCACGGTGTTGGTCACGATTGTAGTCTTTTGAAAATTGATTTTGATTCCAACATTTTGACTTATCTCGNTTATGTTTATTTATGGCACCGGGTCCTATCACGGTGTTGGTCACGATTGTAGTCTTTTGAAAATTGATTTTGATTCCAACATTTTGACTTCTCTCGTATACCTCTTCTAGCGTTGTTTGAAGTTTTTGACTGTCGTGTGCTGTAATAACTAAATCGTCTGCATATCTGAAATGACTCAGTTATTTTCCATTCATTTTGATCCCTTCCTCGCTCCTATCTATACTTCTCAGTTTCCAGTGCAGCTGCGAAAAGAGCAGGTGAAATGGGGTCTCCCCCACGGTCTCCTCGTTGTATTTTGGTGGGCCTCGTGTGGCCGCATATTTTAATATTCTTTTTGGCACATTTGTAGATGTTCGAGAGAAGGCGGATGATTTTCGGGCGGACTCCGTTACAGAATAGCGATTTCCATAGAGATTGAAGTTCCGCAGAATCAAATGCTTTGAAATAGTTTATGCTCATACGTCTCGTCTTCACTCAAGTGCGAGCACCAGCAACAAACTAATCGTTTCTGTCTTTCGCGATCGCTATCCACGGTAGACTCAAAATTCGACGAAGATGACGGTGTGAGGAGTCGTTCAGCTGCTCTCGCAGCTGTTTCGAGTGATCGACAAGCAGATCCCCCATCTCGCAGCAGGCCAATCCTTAGGTCGCGAAGATCCTACGAGAGCTCGCTCGACTGTCCGTCTTGTCCACTGCCATCATCTCTTTTCATTATATGACCGGCCCACCGGAATTTTGCGCTCTTCATGTATTCCACCGGGTCGCGGAATCGGAACATCCCGAACATTCTGCCCATATCGGAGCTGCGGAGTCCGGCTCGATATTGATTGAGCCGATTGAACCTTAAAAGACATCACTCGAGCGCTCTGTGACTTGGGCTCAAAGCCCTTGACGTGATGTACTGGTTATCCAAGTCTCCGACCCGAAACAGAGTGCAGGAAGAACGGTGGAATCGAACAGGTTAGCGCGAAGTTCCAGGTCGACCAAATGGTTAGCAACCTCTTTCAGAGGTCCTAAGGCGGCCCACACTGCTTTCTTCCGTATCAACAGTTCTTCCCTCATGTCGATGTTCATACTCACGGAACGTCCCATGTACCATAGGACGAGGTTTCCTTGATAGATGTACCATCGATCTTAATTTGACCTTCGTCGGGCCAAGCATTCTTCATGAATTGTGCCCCTGTTGGGTTGATCTGCAGCCATGCCTCCTTTCCTGCTTTATCAAGCTCAGCAAGCATAGCCTCAGCTTCCGCAATGCCGCTTGAAAAGAGAACGATGTCGTCCGCAAAGCGGAGTTTTGAGGGGAAGCGTTCATCCACAGGAATGCCCTTTCGCTCCCAGTCTAGCGACTTCATAACCCACTGCAACGCTGCTGTGAACAGCTTCGGCGAAATAGTGTCGCCTTGTCTCACGCCCTTTCCTATGGAAATGAGGAGAGGTCGTTGGAACAGCTTCACCGTCACGCTGCAGTGACTACTGCAGTCAGCTAATGCTCTTATGTAGGGAGGGTCCACTCCTCGATCGACCACTGCTGACAGGACCGCATTCGTTTTCGACGCTGTCAAAAGCCTTTTCATAGTCAACAAGTGTAAGGACAAGAGGCATTCGGAATTCTGGGCACACTTCGATGACTATTGCGACCGCTTAGATGTGGTCTAAGTAGCTGAATCCCTTCCGGAATCCGGCCTCCTCCACAGATTGAGCTTCATTTAACGTTCGCGATGTGCGGGTCAGAATGAACTTCCTGAACAGCTTGTAAAGAACACTTAACAAGCTTATCGGGCGGTAATCGCGAAAATCATCCAGGTTCCCTTCTTGTGAAGGATGACCATTCGCGAGTTCCTCCATTGATTGGGAATCTTCTCCTTCTGGAGGTAGGATGTCATGTGTGTTGCGAGAAGCGCATGAAGTTTGTAGCCACATGCACGGAGTATTCGGCTAGGATCTTGTCGGGGCCTGAAGTCGTTACCCTTTTCATGCTCGCAATCGCAACTCTCACCTCCGAAGGAAGGATCCGAAGTGCTGTTCCGTCAGTGGGGTTTTTTAGTTTTCGCACGTGTGTCGTGGATCGGTACAGGTTGGTATAAGACCTCCGTGAAACTTACTCCGTCTTAAGGCTCGATGTTGTAATTGCTCCGTCCTCCTTCTTCAAGTAGGAAAGTGGAATACTGTGGTTTTGGAGATCTTGATGGCATTTTCTCAGACTGATTCTGTTCAAGGCTGCCTTCAGTAGTCTCCTCTCCCTGTATAGCTGAAGGTCTCGCCGCACTGCCCGCTTGCAGCTGGTATTCGCTTGCAGCCTTTCAAGTTGTGCGACATAATGGTCAAGCCTCAAGTTCCTTCTTGTCCTGGGAAGATCCATCGTCGCATCTGTAATGCGAGCTGAGGTATCCACTCGAGGAAGCGTGGCCTATTCAGCACAAGTGAGGAGATCCCAAACCAGCGCGTCGTAGTCTTCGGTCAGGTCATCCAAGACATGCCAGTCATATCGGGACAAGACGTCATTCAGAACATCTTCGTAGCATACAACATGCTTCGAGCTCTTTGCGCGATGTTGAGAGATCTTTTCCAGCTTGTGACTGAATCTGATTCTAGCGCGAAGGAGTCGACGATCAGAACCATCGCAGAAAGATGGTCGCACACCAACATCTAATAAGCACCACTTTCTGTTTGTTTATATGTGGTCCAGTTCAGCATCAGTTGTACCATTTGGAGACTCCCATGTCTGGCGACGATGTTCCTTCTTCTGGAAAGAAGAATCTCCATGGAAGAGTCGAGCCGCTGACAGGAGTTTAGTAGACGGTTTACGTTCTCGTCCTCGTCTCCCATTCCGAACTTGCCAATCCTAAACTCCTCCTCTTGTGCTTCGCTCAGCCTAGCGTTGAAATTTTCAACAACCAGTTTGTAGAAGGAGTTCTCGTAAACTGTGGATGTTCCCTCAGTTGGTCGTAAAATGCATCGAGCTCCACTCCGTCAGCCGTAGAGCTCTGAGAGTAGCAGTTGACGATAGAGATGGTCTTCAGGTGCATATGTCGTAGGCGTAGGATGGCATAGCGAGGAGAAAAGATCTGTGAGAATCGACGAGATGGACGACAGATGAGTGCTCGATGAAACCAACGCCGCCGACGTTTCGCGATGGAAGCTTCTCACCTCGAATGAAATAGTCGATGAACGCAATGTATAGAGGGATGTTAAATCGGGTGCTTTTCCCTATGAGCTGACGTATGACATGAATGTGGTCTACGGTGGAGTAGTTTCTACGAAAGCTGGCTTGTTCGACAGGTTGATTACTCTCTAACGAGGATCTCATTCGCCGTCCAGTAACTAAAATAAATAGCGTGTATATCGTCGGAAGTAGAGCGATAGGGCGAAAATTTCGAATGTCAAGAAGATCTCCTTTCTTGAGCAGAAGCGATGTTGATGATTCCGATAAACTAGCAGGTGACTCCTCTTCCACAAGAAAGTCATTGAAGAGTTCCACTAATGGTTTTTCAAGAGTGTGGTATGCTGCCATCAACTTTTCGACGGTTACGTGGTCAGGTCCTGGTTTTCCCCCTAACCTCATCGATTTGAGAGCATGTTCGACTTCCTTAGGCCAAATTGGTGGCATCTTCTTGGAACTCTCCATTACTGGAAGAGGGAGGCGGCTTTTGTGGAGAGAAACAATTCACTCAGAATTTTCCAACGAGAGATGCGACAGTAGGCGGCGCTCCCGCGATGGACCCATCATTTCTTTTTAGTCGTGTTAGTGGTTTTGCCAATTAGTTTCTCTTGTGATACTCGGCGAAGGCTGGAACATTGAGAGACAGCTTCTTGTAGACGCACAGGATGTTTCTGTTTCAGAACAGTTTTCAACGAAAGACGGAACACTGTTGATAATGGAGAATTCTACTGTACTTCTCTCCTGATGTGATAGGAGGTGTCGTTTCTCGAACAGCTTTCTTGTGTTTTTGGAACCTCCGATGTGGCATCATCAGCGGCCATGTCTATCATCTCCTTCAATTCCTCATATTTGCTAAAAATCTCGTGGAATCAAGCTATATAAACGAAACGCGTTGCGGAGAGAACCGTTGCATTGAAGTTTGTTGTAGTCTCAGCTTCCCTAGAATGATGATGTTCGTTGTCTATACGAATCTTAGCCGTATCAAGTCGACGATCACTGACGAATTTTAACCGGCCCATGATATTAACGGCTAGGAATATAGTTTGGTCAGTTGATAGAACAAAATCAACAGCATTCCTCGTCTGCATATTGGGTTATACCCGCGACCATTTTCTGGACTTCCTGTTTTTGAAATTGTTATTCATAGCGTGAAGATACCGTATATTCATTTTCAGAACAGAATTCGCAAGTACATCCGCTCTTCGTTGCGTGTTTCTAGGCCATATCGTCCAAGGGACATCTCAGTTTCCATTCCGCTTCCAATCTTTGCATCGGAATCCCCTAGTGCAACTTCGATCAGGTTTCGTTTATCGACAATACAGCCTTGATTGTGAAAGCGTGCACTAAGGGCTTCAGAAATCTGTTCAAGAAATTCTTGATACTCAATATCCGGACAGGTAATATCTGGTAAATATCCTTGAACAACTCGGAGATCTATCACGTTCGTACTAACGCCGACATAGCAGAACATTTCCGAGATGACTTGGGGGGAACAAATTTTTGACCACTTTGCGTTGATTAAGAATCCTTTAGAATTCGAAAAGTGAACCGCGTGATTAGGTCGTATAAGGTTCGGGGATGTGCTTTCTCTTCTTCGTGTGCCAGAAAGTTCAATAATATCGGAAGGTACCTCTTTGGCGGCATCTGTTAATCTTGCCTCTGTTTGGAGAGCCCGGCAAAATTGAGAGTCCCAATCTGGAGAGGAAGCATGATGGACATGGTACCAGCACCAGGTTGTACGCCTGTCAGATGGTCAGTAGTGGACCTAGTGATTTGACCCCTCATTAACGATCTTCTTAGAGTCAGTGGGTCTGCAAGGCCATGTTTTTTTTGAGCCACATGAGTGCATTCAACTCAAAGGCTCACTGTACTGTAGTTATGTTAGACCTTATCAAACAAACTATACTTAAAATAAGCTGAAATTCATAGTGTAAAGAAACGTAATAAAATGCTCGAGTGAAAAAAAGTTTATTAGGTATGATGCACGTTCCCTGGTCGTATATATTTTGTTGCAAAGCTGAAAGAAATGGAAAGGTTCTAGCCAGTTGTAGGAATGGAAGAATTATTCCCTTCCCGAAACTTACCCTAGAAGCCGACCTGGATTTCATAGGTGTTAGGTGTCCTCAGTCGCGCACAGCGCTTGCAAACGCGGAAACAGCATCGTTAGCGAGCAATGTGTGTTTCTCTGTGTTAATTCGGCCGGTGCTGAGCGTCAGTGCCTCCTAGTTTCCATCAAATGAGAAGCTGGGCGATAGCAGTTCCGAACTGGCAAAAATTCAAATTGCACTCGATTAAAGTAGTACAAGTAGGCTGCATATACATAGTCGAACAATATTTCTCATAGCGTGGTCGTTTCGTTCTGCCAGTTGCGTACCAGAATGTGTCAACAGGCGTGATCTCGAATGTACTCAGCAATAGAGAAGGCGATGGGCCAATAGAGATCGACGGTGAGAGGTCAATTAGCTCAAGGTTCGACTAGGTCATTTATCCATCTATTATCATTATATCATATCACAGAAACCTTTAAATAGACGCTAAAGTACTCGTTTTCAAGGAGCTGTTCCTAAAAAACTAGCAAATTCTCGAAGAATTTATAGTTGAATTCACTGCTTTCAGCTAAGATTTTTTGAATTCTGTTATTAAGGGTATCAAAATGAACACGATTCCATGCTCTCCTCATATATAACGCCTAACATGCCTTTCGAGAACCCAGGATGAAGTTTTCTTCTAAAGTGGAGAGTTCACAACGGTGTTATGTCTCAGGAGAATGAAGAGTTCACAACGTCGTTCATTGCCTGAGGAAACACCTCAGGTAATGAACGCTAATTTCCTGACCTCCATGAAAAAAATGGTGCTGCGAAATTGAAGAAAATCAAAATCTCATGACATAAGTGTTTTCCCACGAACAACCCTATCATATGGCCTTCACACAAAACAAGTGGCTGATAGAAGTAACAAACGTCTGGAAAGCTGGTGGTTCAGATCATTGCTTTCAGTTGAAAGTGTTCGAAATGTGCCGTGAAGGATATCAATATGATCGGCATTCGATGCTCTCCTCGATTATAGCGCGACTCATTTGAGAGAATGAGGACAGAGTTTTCAATTGAACTGGAGGGTTGATGATGCTGTCATATCCGCGAGTAATACACTACGAAAATTGAGCCTGACTCAGACTCAATTCTGATTTTTCCTGGAAGGAGAGGCAAGAAATGAGAGAAAATCAAAAAATTATTGTATATATGGATTCTTCTCAAGCAGAGCCCTGATGATCTCACTTTGGCTCGATTGGGGTACATCAGCTAAAGTTGTGGCGCAGCGACGGCTCGCGATGGATTGATCTGTCGTAAACGGATCGATCCGTAGCAAACCGTCGGGTGACTACTAATTAGTAGCAGTGTTGTACAGTTGCTGCAATACCAGTGTTCGCTCTATATCAAGTAATGGCATTGTAATATGCAAAAGATCTCATTCACATAACATTGAGCTGGTCACACGAGACATTTATTGCTCTAATGCATCAAAGGTATGAACGATTGCATATTGTAACAAGCTATGACAAACGACAGTATAAGAAGTTAGATTGGATACTAACAGCAGCAAACGAAAAGCGGGCATTCAATTCTTGGCTGAATGATCAATCATAGTATGAGAGTAGGTGGTTGGTTGAAAAACCATCTCCAGCTGGTCGATCTCAACCTTACGGCCACCATATCGGTTCTTTGAAATCTGAAGGATCAGTTTCAGTATAAAATCTCCAAGAAAAACATCTTGTCTGAATCAACTTGTCCACTTTATCTGATTATCGGCCTTATCCAGATTACCATTTTAGCATTATTACTAATTTCTTCATAAACTTTCAGAATAGTCCTTGTACAGGGCAGGGCTTTCTCTCCCAACCTGCTTGTCCAGGTAGCCTGACGCTGGTGGGTCACCATGTTTTGCACACCTGCAGTGCATATTTTTGGCTCAGCAGGATTCGAGCTTGTGGCTTTTTTGAACTCCAGCCCTGCCGAAGCAAAAATCATGCCTCGCGAAAATTGCATAAAATGATGTTGATGCCAACGTCAGGCAGCCATCAGCCGGTCCACGTTGATGGGCCGGCTAAGGGAGGAGCTTTCTCAGGTCCATTTTGAAAATCTATTGAGAAGATGGTGATAAGGCTATGATGCACTCGGAGGTGGTTGTGCAGCAATACCAAAACCCATTTTCGGATTGACGCTTCTAACGAACACTCTAGTCATTTTCTTTGATATATTCGAATGAACTCATTTATTCGACTCCTTTTTTGAATGTTTCAAAATATGACATGACTATCTTAGGCGATTTAACACCACTCACATAAAGAAATTTCCTGATCTTGCCTCGATCGCGGTCATCACGTCTCCTTTGAATGGTCAGCACATTATCGGCTTCCTGTGTCACACTACAGGAGCCACCGAGATGAAGTATATCGAGGTCGCCGTCTCCCTTAACTCTGACGCATAGTTTCTCAACATCACTATATACATTGTACTAAAGCTCAAATTTTTTTGTACGACTGCAGAAAGAACACCGCAATGCAGGTGCCTCACATCAGTCTTAACTGGATGAACCACCATAGTGACGTGAGCTCCATACTGCGTCGCTAAATTCCGCATGTGCCCAACGAAACGATCCTATAATTACCAATAGCACACTTTGAAAAAACATCTCTGTCGATTATAGTGAACTTTACCGCTATAACTGTTAGATCCCTCTGTTGTTCCCCATTAGTTTGAAATTGCTGCTTATCGGTGACTTGTTTGTGTTTTTTTTGCCGGTCTGTTATTTTCTTCGATTTCTGATAATAAATCATAAACTTAACTTTCTATGTTAAGAGAGTTATTAATACCAGGAGCATACGTAGAAACTTGAAAATAATCGGTATAAAACATCAAATCAGTGAGTAAAGTCGGCTTGTTTGAATAAGTTTTGATATTTGTGACTCATTTTAGAGACATCAATACTGCTATCTCCCCATATTCGCTGCTTTTTTTCTTTTTCAAGCATGATTCATTCTCACTTCTTTCCAGTTTCCAAGTCACGTTTTCATTTTATTTATTTGCTGTTTAGTTTACTCTGGTGATTACTTCATCACCAACGGGGAAGTTGTCACAGAAAAAACATCACAGCAAATGGGTTCATCTTTGGAAAAAAACCAAACTGCAGTCGAGCAACGTTGAACTAAATGGGGTATCTCCATTTTCAACAATAGTCCGTCCCAGTTTGAGGGAAAGCCGGCGAAAAGCTTTGCAGCTCTTGCATTTTAACGTTTTATACTGCAAAGCAACTTCATAAATAAATGATCCATCGTATGTAATATTTCCTATGTATGTTTATCGAGACTTGCTCTGCAATAGTGGAGAATGACAAGGTTGTGGAAAGTAAGCATAAAAAACAAATTGAAAGTACATAGAGTCCTGACCCGCTACTCCAAGATGAAATTAAAAAGAGAGAGAGATTTCATAATAATCAACGTATTATTGAGACTTAGACACTTGAGATGCGGTTTTGTAACTAGTTTGATTAATGGAGCTGCAAAGCTCTACACAACTGAATGGGATGAGAACTAATGTTCCTAAACATGGTACCAGTTTCAACACTAAAAACGGTACTCAGTGCTTGATGTGAAAAGGGTATGGGTTACAAAACGATGAAGCGCTAAAGAAAAGAAGAATGAAGGAGCATTGTTGGCATCTTCTCTCCCCTACAGCCATTTACACAAGAGAAATAATGGTATTAATTCTATGTTCGAACGAATGACGTTCCAACAATCTTTCAAAGCTATCCTGCACGCAACTTTAAGTGGTGGGGAAAAAACAGAAGGAAATCATGGAAGCTTCAAGCTTTCAACGGCTATCTATGGACTTAAGAGTGTTCTACATGCTAACGGGTAGTTTTGGGAAGGAACACCGAGTAGAAAAAAAGGTATCAAACCTAGCCAGTGTTATAAGCAGCTGCGAAGCAGCTGTTAATAACGTTAGATGGAAGAAATGTTTGTGTTCAACACCATGTAGTTTTTCTCTGAAGGTGATAGTGAGAAGACCTAGTTTCCAACTTCTCTCTTGCTTTAACCTCGGCATAGTTGTTTATGATTGAAAAACTTTGGTGCCGTACGAGGTTGTTTGGTGGAACAGTTTATTTAATTAACGGCCTAACGTTTCGACACAATCGTCTTCTTCAGAGGCCTAAATGCAACTTGAAATGAACAATATCCAAGAAGCGCGTTATCTCTCCTGGTAAATATGACGACAAATTCAAAACCCATGACTCGATGAATGACTCACCAGGATTCCTCCGCTTGAGCGGAGAAAATCCGCTGTCGCCACAGGCGACTGTCAGTAGCAAATGAGACTTTCTTGCAGTCTTCCTTACACTTGTGATAAGGGAGATCATGTCATAGTGCTACTGAGTCATAAGTCGCAGTGCGATATGTATGGCAAAAGATCGTTGGTTATAGACGGGCACTCATCTCTACCGTTCATTTTAGGACATATGTTACAGCCTCTTGTTATGCACTGCTTATCGTAGAGCCTGTTTCGAACTAATAGCTGCTTGATGTTCTTATTAGGAGTACGAAAGGACAGGCGATTGCGCACTGGTGGGCGTAATCTACCAGATAGAATGCCGGACATGTGGGTCAACATACATTGGAGAAACGGGAAGACAACTAGCTATACGTATTAAAGAGCACTTAGCTAGTATGAGGCGAGACAGCCTGATGATGGCGCTTGGTAGGCACAGAATTGAGGAGCACAACGGCAACAGTTTCGAAGTAAAGTGCACGATATTAGCGCAGGAGTCGGAGATTTGAGCTAGGAAGGCATTGTAGGCGTTTTGGGTTTTCCAAAGGAACGGTAGAGATGAATGCCCGTCTATAACCAACGATCTTTTGCCATGCATACCGCACTGCGGCTTATGACTCAGTAGCACTATAACGTGATCTTCCCTATCACAAGTATAAGGGAGACAGCAACAAAGTCTCATTTGCTACTGACAACCTCCCAACAACCTCGTACGGCACAAAAGTATTTCAATCATAAACAACTATGTCGAAGTTGAAGCAGAAGAGAAGTTGGGAACTAAGTTTTTTCTACTATCACCTTCAAGGAAAGTCTACAGGTGTTGAGCACAAATGTTTCTTACATTTCCTAACAACCTCGTACGGCACAAAAGTATTCCAATAATGATAAACCTAATTTCTGATTCGTTTATTCCAGTACACTCTTCAATGAGAAAATAGCCTAGTCCTCAGAAAAAGAAAGAAGTTTTAGTCTGGAAGTAACACGCTGTAGTGGAGCAGCGCTGGATAGCTTTGCGAAGAAATACCGCATCGCCCAGCTGACGAGGGGTTATGCTCTTTTTCGTGTTACCAGTCGGGCCGCCCGGCTAACGCCGGGCTTCCCTCCTTCTCATGGGTTCGCCCGGCTACGCCGGGCGCTCCTCCTTCCTGTGAGAAATTTGCTATGCGTAAATAACACTTCGGATTCTCCTTTTTCTTTGAAAGCTCTACACCCTCAGTATTAGCTCCGAATCAAGAGCGATTTTTTCTGTAAGCCATCTTCGCTGTGTCCGAATAGAACATCGCATAACATTACAAATGCGATTATTCAGAGGAAAAAGTATTCAGATACTCCATCGCGGCTGAGTCTACTATGTTAGCTACCATCAATGTTCCCAGCCGACTTCTTACGTCCTCGAGTTTCAACGGTCTGGGTCCGAATCAATAGTATTTATTCACGCCCAGCCCTTTAAGGCGGAGTTTAGCCTTGCAACCTTCCATCGATGTTCCTATCCTGCCTCCTGTATTCTTTCAAGATTGGTCGCTCTAGGTCCATTTTGACATTTCTCTGCAAGCCCCGCCCCTGAAGGAGTTATGAATTTCTGGCCAAACTGTGGGNTAAGTTTACGCTCAAACATTTATTTCGCACAAACCCCGCCCCCTGTGGGCGGAATCCGGCCCCGCCACCCAACATAAGTGTTCCCATGCTGCAGTCTGTAGTCCTACCAAGTTTGAGCGCTTTAGGTCCACTGGGACAGAGGTTATAAGTTTACGCTCAAACATTTATTTCGCACAAACCCCGCCCCCTGTGGGCGGAATCCGGCCCCGCCACCCAACATAAGTGTTCTTAACCTGCCCCCTGTACTCCTACCAAATTTGGACTCCCTAGGTCTACTGGAACCCGAGTTATGAATTTCCGGTCAAACACACACACACACACACAGACAAACCAACAGACACACTTAGCGCGTTATATATAGTAGGATAATTGGTCCGCCACCTCAACCCTTTCATATTTGGAGCTCTAACTTCCCAGTAAAGCACGCACACACTACGACACGAGCTATCCTCCTGCCTTATGCGGAGCCCTGCTCAAGCCCTGTGTGATCAGTTAACTAATTCATTTCTCAGTTGCTCAGTTTGACTTCGTATTTGTACCCAAATTGCGCTCACTCAACACACGTTTTGTTTTCCTTCACGGCGGAGTCCAATCTTTTCGCCTGTTCCTATACTGCCGCCCGTACTCCTACTTGATTCTAACGGTCTAGGATCACGAGTGCAGTATTTGTGAATTCAGGTCGAACATTTATTTAACTCACGCTCCGCCCCCTGTGACCGAAGTTTAATTCTGTAACCTACGACCAGTGTTCGCATCATGTGCCCAGTACTTTTACGAAATTTGGGCGCTCTAGGTCTACTGGAACACAAGTTACGAGTTTGATTTGATTTGATTTGATTTGATTTATTACACGAAGACGTTCGTGTGAAGCCATAGCAATAAAACATGAACCAGAGCACCAAACAACTAAGGCTACATTTCATAGTTGTGGATTAACAATGGAAGAGTGGAAAATAAAATTAAATTGAATGTAACGTCACGCACCCTTATAAGGCTGAGGAATATCACCGGCAAACCTAAAGTGAGTTAGCCACATTGTGAAAATGCAGTGCAAAGTGACATAAGTTGTGAACCATGATTTCATTAGAAGTGTTGAGTCGCAAGTTTTTTCAACTGAGCAATGGTTTTAGGCACATCACCCCGTTTCACGATTTAGGCACATCACCCCGTTTCGCGATTTCGTTGAATTCTAAGCCAGCACGGTGACAGAAAAAGCGAGATCGATGTAGAGTCTTTGGTCTGGGGATATATACCTTAAGGTTGCCTCCCCGAGTACGAGAGTCTCCTGCAGAGAATAGCTTAGACTTATCAATAGAAACTTTTCCGTTAAGAATTTTGTAGAGCATAAGTACATAATTCAGCTTCCTTTTTTGCTCAAGTGACTGTGAACCCAGCATTTTATTTCTAACAGCACTGTGAGGTACAGTCAAATAATTACCCATGAACTCTAATTAATAGCTTCCTAGTGAAGTCATTTTGTACTTTTTCAATAGTCTTAATAAGGTTTTTCTTATGTGAACTATAAATAACAGTTCCATATTCAAGGATAGGGCGGATATAAGTTTTAAATGCACGAAGAAGTATTTGAACATCCTTGTTTCTGAACGCTTTATAAAAATTGAAGATCTTATTAGTAGCCTTGCTGACAATCTTGTTTATATGGCCATCAAAACTTAGGTTGTGGTTAATAACAAAA